TTTATATAACCTTCAAATTGATTTTTAATTATTGTATGTCAACATGTCAGATGTGTTATCTATAATATTGTCTCCCCTTCTGCTATTGTTGACTATTATATTATGTTAGAATATCATTTGAATATTCTGTATTATTGGACTACACAGTCTAGACAAATTTAAAAAATTATAGTCTAGATGGTACATTAATCTTTTGTAAGGTGTCCAGTTGCTACTGGTGAAGATATTAACGAAATTGCGAGTTGGATTATAAAAAACTTAGAAGTGCAGTTTGTACTTTGTAGCAAGTTTATCCTCCACTTTGAATAATAGAGAAGTACATGCATTATTCTTAAGATTTAGACAGCTAACAATGCCAGATATGTTTACCTCTAACATAAGCTATTACACTTAACAGCATATCATATAGCACTAGATACATTCATATAAGCTATACTTTAAATAGTTATGGCCCTGATCGATCAGGTTGCCTCATTTAGATGTAGGGCTTCTGACTAACAATCATAAAGCTTAGGTTTAAGACGTGGAGTGAGCAGGATTTCAAGGGGGGTTGCCTTGCAGTTGGTAACACTTGAAGTTTCTGTCATGTCGACCTCCATATCCCCTGGAGTTCCCAGTTCGAATCCATGAATGAGGCGAGCAAGGGTCAAATGTATAAGTTCAAGGGCGAATGTAACGCCTGGACACATCCTGCTACCAGAACCAAATGGTATGAGTTCAAAATTCTGACCCCTTAGTTCCACATTTGCATTGGTGGTCAGAAATCGTTCGGGACGAAAGGCACAAGGATCGTCAGACCATAGCTCTGGGTCACGCTGCATTTTCCAAATGTTCACAACCACACGCGTGCCTGCTTTAACATGGAAGCCACCAATCTCACAGTCCTCAACAGTTATTCGTTCAATAAGTGGTCCAACTAGACATAAGCGCATTGATTCCTTCACGATGGCATTGAGATACACCAGTTTGACGACATCTTTGTCATCTACTTTTCTATCTTTACCTACGTGCTGATCTATTTCTTCTTGCGCCTTTTTCAACACATCACGGTGGTTCATTAGTATAGACAAGGTCCATGTTAATGCCACAGATGTGCTGTCGCTCCCACCAAAGAGGATGGCCTGCAAATATAACATATTAATTGTTTGTATAGATTATTCTTCCTCTGTAGTAGTAATGTAGTATAGTGTATATATGCATATGATTATGAAGTAACATAAATTTTGTTCATATACGTACCACACACATAGACTTGATGAAGGTCTGAACATCGACACCTTGATGTTGAGTTTCGTTAATCATGGACAAAGTAAGATCGATAAAGTCTTGCTCTTGATCCTCCCAGCCTGGTGAGAGTCTTTTCTGCTTATGCTCTTCCACCCAAGTTGCAAGAATCGCGTCCAATTCCTTGGTTGTAGCCTTTAAAGCACTCTCATCTCCCCGCAAATAATCCACCCATTCAAGAGAAGGAAAGAAATCTGACACCACAAGTTTTCCTGTAAGAAGTGTGGCCTCTACTATAACTTTCTTATAATGCTTGGCCTCATTCTGATCATCTTCATCCCCACCACGCCTCGCCTTAGACCCCATGTTTCTTTTCCCAGACAGCATTCTAGTCACAACATTAAGTGTTAATTCTTCGAGCCATTTGTTCATTTCCACCAAGAGAGGAGTACCTATGTGGTCGTTGGATTTTGATGTCCATAGCTGGTAAAGCTCCTTAATGGAACTGTCAAGTTCTGAGGCTCGTACGTGCCTTTGCATTTGAAGCCTTTGGTTTGAGAGCAGATTAGCTTTAGATACATGACGCATCTCGACCCAAAGTGGTCCATAAGGTGCAAATCCGAGTGAAGCTTCATTGTATGAAAAGGACTTCAAGGCTTTGATAGTAGGACGTTTAAAAACCGATCTATCATTTTGAATGAAACACTCCTTGGCAAGCTTCAAACCGCTTATTACAATTACTGGTTGTGATCCATACTTGAGCATGAATGCTGGACCATACTTTCCCGCCAATTTCGAAAGCAAATGATGGGGCAGTTCTTTTCCCATGAGCATATGAAGGTGACCGATAATAGGCCATGCACCCGAAACTAATGGTGCAGTTTTGTTTTTGCAAGAATTAGTTTTGTTTGCAGATGTCCAAAAGATAAAAGAACAAGCAAGAAGAACAGCTACACAAGTCAGTAGCATGGCAAGGTCCATGCTTAAGCGGTTTAAGAATGCTAATTAAAGATGGATAATAATGTGTTGCTATTGAACTAAGTCTGTAAAGTTATATAGTGAACTTCAGAGATTGTTAGTCAAAACCTAGAGGCTAGAGCAGCCCTTCAACATTAAAAAGATAACTATAGACAGCTGCCTCAAGAAATAAGCGCACCTGCAAATTTCCTGAAAAAAAAAATGATTTAAAATCAAGGATTTGAATTAAGATACCAACATTAGTGATAAGAGTCAGAATAATATAAAAATACAAGTTGAAGTCTACACATTGGGATGTCAAAATATGGAAATAATTGGCCTTTCTAGCTATAGTTGAGCCAGGTTTGATAGTTCAAGCAGCCATCCTTGATTAACTATAGGAAAGAATGAGTTTTCCACAGTGACAATGACTTCACCCTCAACGCCTGATATGCATGGACTGTGATGCAGGAAAGAGGAGATTCTTCAACTCATTGCCTTTCCATTATACTCTTTATCCTCCCGTTCCCATACTCAAAACACAAACCATGTGGGAATTACACTACAGTACAATGCAGCATAAAAGTCAATTAACAGAGATCATCTGGTTGTACTAGCTCCATAGTCTACACAGTACTCAACGAATGCGGAAATACCCACTTCTATATTGATTTAGTCTAACACCAGCATAGCATAATTAGACAAAGAACAGATCCTGATGTGATTGGAATGCATGGAATAAGTACATTTGAGGCAAACATGTCACTCAAATTCAAGACTGAAAGATAATAAAAATCAAAGACGACTCAAAATAAGTGATTCAACAGCATAACAAACCAAAACTTCATGGACGATTTTTCCAAAGTAACAAAACCAAGACATTGTTATTTTCATAGAGAAATTCTTCCTCTAGGAAGGAAAGAGGATAGTACCCTCTTATAAGCAGCCATAACCAAAACTAATTCAGAAATTTATTACTCACCCTAAATATTTCCAAAAAGTACTTTCTAAATTCAAATCTTAATCCAATAATCACCAACTGATGAAGCTATAGGTATGCATATTTCCATTCCTTCTAAAGGTTGTCTATGTGTGACTCTCCTCTTGAAACAATAAAACATATGCCAATGGAGTGTTCTTTCACTCAGTCAGTTTGGAGTCCGAATTTGTTGCACCCTCTCAAAGAGTGTTTTAAAATACTATTTGTGATTAGTTCTTTTCATTAAAAAAACTAAAATCCTAATTTCGATAGTGGGAGCTGGAATAAAATTTGGACCAATCACAAAAAAGGTGCAACATACTTTTGGAAGGTCGACTCTATTTTAGTTTAAGTATTGTAATATATCTGGGAACATTTCAGCTCATATTCTAGCAACAACAAGGGATAAAAGCTCGATCGTTCCCACTATCTTCGCTATCCCTCCATCTTGGCTGTTACATCAGTTAAAGCTGGATAATATGTTCTGTACTCTTGCTACTGAGTAGCTTTATCTATATATATCTATGATTATCAAAAAAAAATAAAAATCCAATCACCATGACAAAAACTGAATCACTAAACTTCAGGCAGCAAGCATGATTTCATTAACCAGAGGCGGCCTAACATATTCCTCGTCATCTTTTGGGGTGTGGATGGTGACCAAATCTGGCAATGGAGATATAGGACCGTGCTTACCCATGGGATCCCAGTCCAACATTATCTTCACTTTGATCCCAAGCACTCCCTGCATATAAAAAACAATAAAGATCAATTAATGAACACCAATTCCTCCAAAACATGGAGAAATAAAACAATTGATGAATAATTTAAGTCCAAACAGTTGCTTGGTATATGCATCATATAAGCCGACAGAACTAACTGCCAGAGGTACTCGTACGAGCGACTAACCTGTCTCAACAGAACGTGCCTCACTGCAGAATCTATGTAATCCTTAACCGGCTGCCCAGCTGAGACCATGTAACCATCTTTGAACTTCATCGACTTGGCACGTTGAGCCCTCAATTTTCCGCTGATAATGACCTGAAACCAATTAATTTTAGAAAATAAGCAATCAACTTTTATGTTCAAGCTTGGTTAACCCAAATAATAATCATATAACTCACCTCACAGCCTTTGGCACCACTTTCCATGATGAAACGAAGTATACCATAACAGGCCCTGCCACAGAAAAGAAAGCTCAAAAAACATATAATTCTAAAAAAAAAAAAGACATCTGAAGGGTTTGTACTCGTATAACTAATTCATTACAAAACTGTTTAGTGCACACCACGTTGAAGGGGTCAGTCTGTTACATAGTCAATCATTCCAGTATGTTCTGATGTTTTAAAAGAAATCAATGTTATGATGCCATCAACAAGAAGAAACTTTCCGTATCCAGCTATACAAGGAATACAGAAAGGAACCATGCTATCACTACAACAGAAGCCATGCATCTAAGTAAAGCTCCAACAAATCATCACTTCATTACAACAATGAACAATATTTTAAAATAGAATACACTGATTGGCTTTGATGTTCACAAATGTGTATTGTCTACCACAAAAACTTCTTTGTCTGACATAAATCGTTCACAAAGGAAAATAATTTTGTTTGTAAGATGAATTAAGTAGATGAGCAGCGTATAAAGCTGATAATCTGTGGATTCATCTCTACGGTTGTCTGGCCGCTGCTGGTAGAACAGCTTTTAATTTATGCACCATAGTTCAAGGCTCCACAATATAGATTAGTATTGCCTATGAAATGAATGCAAATAGAGATCCCTTCTATGGTTTATTTGAAAGGAGAAGGGACACCTGCCTATCGCCACCTAAGAGACCTAAATTTTCATGGGAGCATATGGCAAATGCCAGTGGGGAACCCGGAACCCAATATTAAAGCACAATTAGAATAATCACATTTCACAAGACTGCTGAAACCTTTTGCCACCTCCTTACATTCATTACCCATGTATTAATTTCGATATTTAATTGCTACAGCTGGGAAAATCAGTCTGAACTCTAACCGACCAACAGAAGCGAATAAGCAGCAAGGTACTTTGGAACCATACATCAGCAGCAAAATAGTGTTTGGTAACTGCATAAATGATTCAGGTGGCTGAACTTTCTTTTATGAGAGGTAATAGGCTGATAACATGTATTCTGTGTGGTATTTTAGTAAAACAAAGTTGGAAGCATGAAGTTATAAATACATGTTCATATCACTTTCACAACCATGATTGGATGTTAGCAATTAGTTCAGAAAATTTTGATTGGATTCTTTTCAATTCTTATGCATAAATATGCACACATCGATAAAACAATAACAATTAATAAATATATACTTTGGTTCAAAGAACCTAAATACAGACAATACTAATAAGTGTGTCCACGCGCATGTATAGATGGTTCAAAACCATAGAGTCCCAATACCATAGAAATACCACATGCATTAGTCCCAACCAAAGTATATATATATATATACTGCAGCGGAGGATATATAATCCTGGCCACCACTTCAAAGCCAAACACTAAATGTCAATAGTATATACAGGGAAAGATCTCAAGAAGTTATACCTTCTAACAGCAAGGCCTCCAAGAAGCTTGTATCTCAAGGATTCAGCCTGAGCAATGGCACAGAGTCCTCTGTTGTTGACCTTCTCAGCATACAATTCAACGCTATTCTCTGGAAACTTGAACCTCTTCTGAACAAGAGATGTCAGCTCCCTGATTCTCCTACCCTTCTCACCTATAAACCAAAATATAGAGAAAAATTGGAACTCATATCTTCCCATCACTCAATCTCATACAATGCCAATGCCACGCAAATGGGCAAACAAAAAAAAATTTACAAAAAT